GAAAATATAATTAGCTGATAATCTTTTCTTTTTGGTTAAATTTGTTCTACCATATTTTAGTAGTGGGCTTGCCTTCAGTAATGCCTATGATTTTGATAACCACTTTAAAATAAAGTTTATGTTGAATTAGTCTTGGACAACAAACAGCATTATACTATCATTTTACCCACAGAAGTCACAATTTCTTTTCTCCACTGATGCTATGTACATTTCAAACATTCCAAAGTGAAGACAGGCTATTATACTGAACATAGCCCCCATGGAAATAATGAAAACTTTTTTTAAAAAAATGGGTTCCTGGTAGATTTTTCCATCCTTTTTCTGAGCCTTTGAAGTCATGTTTGGAGAAAAACATCATATCTCTTTGTCATTTATAAATATCTTAATTCTTTCAGTGCATATTAGGTGAAAGCTCTATTTTAGCAATGAATTAAAAACTCCCCTTTTTTTATTTCCTCTTCCTTCCATTTTTTCCTCTCCCTTGTGCCCCTCTCCTTTCTTTTGTGATTGCAAAAGGATATGACTGCAGACAGGGAACCATGCTGTGATGGTGTAGGCTGAAATCATACTGTAGAGCTTGTTCTCAATTACATGCTGTTTTGTCAGACGATTGCATGGCTTCTTACTCTGAGACTTGTGATCTCAACTGATGCAGATTTTCACTAAAGAGTAGTATTTTACACAATGGTGTAAATTAATAGAAGATGCTTGGTTGAGTGACCCACGAGAAAAATGAAAATATAGGACTGGAGAGATGGCTCAGAGGTTAAGAGCACTGGCTGCTCTTTCAGTGGTCCTGAGTTCAATTCCAGCAACCACATGGTGGTTCACAACCATCTGTAGTGAGATCTGCTGCCCCCTTCTGGCCTGCAGGGTTGCATGCAGACAGAATATTGTATACAAGAAAAATGAAAGTAGAGTCATTCACTGAAATTCTCCAACACCCAGCTCAGCAACTGAGCGCTCTCTCTCTCTCTCTCTCTCTCTCTCTCTCTCTCTCTCTCTCTCTCTCTCTCTCTCTCTCTCTCTCTCTCTCTCTCTCTCTCCCTTCTCTCTCTCTGATAAACTAGGAGAATAAGAAATGAACGCAGAGTTTCAAGAGAGGGCAGTTCAGTTGGGTAGACTGAAATTTCCTGTTTTAATATTCTCAGAAAAATACAGCTTCTTTCAACCAGTAGGTCGATTTTCCATTTCTCTGTTTCCCTGTTTCCATCCCAGGAGGAAGGTGATCTTACATGACTAGTCTTCTTGTGATGTGCTTCTGTTGTTCAGCTCTTCTGTGTCTGTGGTGCTGACTCCTCTGCTAAGCTCCCTGGAACAACCATTCTATTTTGTAGAGCCGAGTTTCTCCTGACTCCAGAATTACAAATAGGGTCAACTAAGAGATCTTAAAATTATTATCATTTTAGTTTTTTTACAGATTAAATTTGTTCTTTGACAATTTTATACATTCATATATTGCTGCCTATTTTATCTAACCCCTCCTTGCTTATGTCCCTTACACCCCTGCTATCCCTGCCTTCCCTACAGGTCCCCTTTCCACATTGATGCCTTTTGTTTGGCTACCCGTGGATTTTTAATCAGTTTGTGTGGCTGGGGCTTTGGAACAATCCCTTGGAGCCTGGTGGGCTCACCAGTGGGTATGTAAATGAAGACTTTCTTTGTCTAGAATCCATCAGTAGCAACAGTTTAACTGGGAGGAGTAGGGTGTCATGAGCCCATCCCTGTGTGTGATTGGCTGTTGACAGGGCCAGACTTGTGAAAGCAACTTTGGCTACAGTGGGGCCATGTTTGCAATGTTCTGTCATCCTTTGCGGGAAAGAGCATCTTGCAGCCCCTCTTTCCATTTTGCACCTCTTACACTCTTTCCACTCTTCTGCAGTGTTTCCTGTGTCTTAGAAGTGGGTGGCATAATGCCCAGAGTAAGGCTGAACTCTCAACCATCATTTATTGTAAGCATACTGAACAACCATGAGTCTCTGCATTCACCGCTGTTCACTGTTTGAGTAGGTGGTAGCAGACAGAAAACTCTGCCCCAGAGGTCAAGGGTCCTGGATCTCATTATCTGTCTGGACTGGGTACTTGTGGGGAGAGGGAAGTATCTAATTTTAACTTTTTGACAGCAGAAAGTAAAGTGTATAAAGAAACGTTGGGGGTTATAGGAAAATAGAAAACCTAAAGTATTTAGCACCCTGCCTTTGCAGCAGTCTTTCTTTAAAATCAGGTCAACTAAGAATTCCCTTCTGGATCAAGCATCAGAAGGCCCGAAAGACACCAGAAATATAAAGCTGGAAAATTTGCCGCTGATTAATTGTTAGGCTTGAAGTCAACAATTGTAAGGTTTATAAGAGGTTAATGAGTCTGTAACCTCTTTGAGATTTAGAGAAAAATCCCCCAAGCCTAATTATAACAGTAAGCGAATCTGTTGGCCAGTGTTAATTCATCACTTTGTGCTCAATAAGTCACCCAAGATGTTTGTCACAAGTTTTTGTCTGTCTTACCATCCAGCTCCCAAATAATGACATGAAGACTTTTTATTAATTATGAAAACTCGACCTATAGCTGAGGCTTGTTCCTAACCAGGTCTTATAACTTACATTAATCCATTTCTATTCATCTATGTTCTATCATGTGGCTTTTTACCTCTCCTTCATTCTGTATGCCCTACTTCCTCTATGTCTCATTGGCATCCTGTGTTTCTAGATTCTCCTCCTCTTCCTTTCCGTCCTGGAAATCCTACCAATACCTCCTGCATAGCTACTGGCCATTCATTCAGCTTTTAATTACACAAGTCACAGCAAATACGTCTTCACACAGAATACAAATATCTCACAAATATTGTTGTGCCGTTGAAACACTTCTTTAGGGGGTATCCGGCAGATGTCCACAGATGCCTCCTCCACATTTCCTTTGTTATAGAGATCTGTTGGTGAGAAGAGAAGGAGGGAGGGTCACCAGCAACCTTGGGAGATGCCACAGATGGCAAATGTCCAGGTTTACATGATGGCTGTTTCCTTCTGCAATCTATAATTTAAATATAACATATTTTATTTTAAAACAAATCTCCACATGAATGCAAATATCACCAGAGTTGGTCTGGGATAGCAGTGAGAAAATGGGGCTTTCAGCCCAAGGTTTTAATCTGTACTCATCATTAATGAACTGGGTGAGGTCTAGCATGTTCTCAGTGTTGAGAACTTGGATGTCTTATTACCTCACAAGTCTTTTAAGGATGAAGACTTTATCTTAAAGGGGTTTCTTTTCATGATTATAACGATAACATTTATCATAGAAAAATGAAAATAAATAAAAATCAAGTCATTCTTTACAAAATTTAGGCTTCTACCATTTTGTGATACATAATTTCATTTTCTTTCTGTTTCTGGGAGTGAATTTAATTTAAGATGATTGTCTTATTGGCCTTTCCTATTTCTAGTGCTTGGTGTCACCACATAGCTACTACATGTTAAGTTAATAGATGTACCTGAAAATAGGAGAATGACAGTTGTGAGTGCTGTGTGAGACACTTTGTGGGAGTGTGCATTTATTTTCAGGTGCCCTCAGATGGGAATCAAATTATTTCTTATTGAGTAAACATAGAGGCTGATTGTAGGCTTAATGCATTTGTAATTAATAATGCTGATGTTTACTTTGGAGAGTGGTTGTATGTACAGTACAAGCTGTTTATAATGCCTGCATGGGGGACTTCTTGTGTGTGTGACTGTACCACTGACACTATATGAATAAATCAGAGAGGCAAAGTATAGGAAGAAATGTGGTTTTAGCTTGTTTGACTACTTTCATATTATTTATTTAATAAGGTACATTTTGGGTTCTGATGACAACTGGTCTCTCTGTCAAACTCAATGATGTTAAGGGTTTTCAGTTTTCTTTCCTTTGTATGTGTATGCCTTGGTAGTGCGTGCGTGTGTGTGTGTGTGTGTGTGTGTGTGATTTTCCATAGACCCACTGTCCTCTTTATTGTGTGGGTAGAGACAGGCATTGGGGAGGCCTTTAGTGGAAACAAAGGCTAGGATTCCTGGCGTCTTTGAGCTTTCTTCACCAAGTGGCACTCCCAGGGTTGGGGATATCAGCTGGTCACCTGCCTTGCAATGGAATAAGAACACCATCCAATTAGTTTTTAATTCTCATAGAGGCAATTAAGACAAAAGCTATTTCCCGCTCACACACCTAGTAGATAACAAACTCCCACTTAGAGGAGCTTCTATGAAACAGCAAAGTGCAGCATAACTAACAGCTGGAACGAGGCTGTTTCAGTGTGCACTCTGTTTATGCCATTTTAGGTCATTAAAGGACTTTTTGTCTCTGTGGACCTCAATTTCATTTGTACAGTGAGAAAAAAATACCCTATGGTATTGTGTAAAAAATAAGGTAACTTTAATTCAACTATACTAAATATCAAGTATTTCTAAATTGTTATATCTTTTAAATGATGATAAACATTTAAAGTTATAAGGGTCTATTTCAGATTAACAAAATATAACACCCAGTCCTTCCTGTAAGCTGGTTACAAAAGTAAAGCTTCTATTACTTCTATTCTCTAGCCATCTATATGCTTAAGGCGAGTCACTAAAGATAAATTTTGTCTACTAAAATATACTAAACAGACAAACAGTCCTCAAATGCTTAGAGATCTAGAGAACATGGCATTTACATGTTTTATTTAGAAGCTTTTTATAACAGAGACAGGCCAGCTGCTGGCACCACCCCATTTCCTCCAAGAAGACTGGTGGACACTGAAGAAACTCTGCCCACAAAAGTGGCATTGCTGGCCACTGAGCAACCCTGCCCTTCACCCCAACTGCTTCAAAGGACTCTTCAGTCCGTGAACAAGAGGACACTGGAATCGACTTTCTCCATGTTGCTCAGGTCAACGGTAGGAAAGTCTTCCTAAAAAGTTCCAATCCACAGGTCTCACTATCAGCAAAAGGCAGGTGTTCTTGGAGCCTCTGATTTCAACAACTGTGGAGGCCCTTGGGGGTGGCTGTCCATGCAGTCAGCTACTAAGTCTCTCATTCTTCAATCTCAGGTAAAATCTTATCCTTCTCAAGAACTCTGATGCTTTTGACGGCTGGTAGCTTTGCCAACTTAAAGTAGCAGACAAGGCAAATCTCTGTCATAAAACAGATTTCAGGAATGAGTACTGTAAGGTTTATCTATATAAGATGTTTAAGTTAAGACATTAAAAAATATGTTCCAGGTTTCTCTTTCATTATACTACTTTTCATAGTCTTAACATTAATCAATAAAGTTCTGATAAGCTACTAATCTAACTCCAACAGTGCTAAACAACTATACCACTATATGATCATAACTATAAGCTCAAAATTAAGGTGCCTTTCATTGTGCTAAAATATCTGTCAGTTTTAAAAATGTTAATGCTTTCAGCCAAGTCTCTTCTAACACAAATATGCTGCTGATATGTCTAATACTTATGTTTTCACAAACTCAAAGGATTCTTGTAAGTTCCAGAAAGCCAAATTGGACCCATCCAAACAGGTCAGATTCACTCCAAATATTATTCAACCTCTCCCTGGTCCTGGGACTCCCTTCCCTTATCTTGGGACCCCCTGAGAGCCCTTCCCTCATCTTCCCCTCAAATACCAGGACCTAAGAAAGAAAATTTTAAACCTAACTTTGTCCTCTACTCTGCTAACATCTTGCCAGATCTACAGAGGCGCCAGACAGTCCCATACAGCCTGGACTACAATAGAACAACCAGTGTGACAGCACCCTAACTTTCTCAGGTTCCCCCAAAGATGATCAACACCCCCAGGTCAGAAGGAAGCAGTCTTAAGAACTCAACCTCCTTAATCCCAAACCTGTCACGTCTAACACCCCCATCTCTTTTTAATCATAAATAAAGGTGGGAATGAAAGGTTCAGGCATTGCACTGGCCTGCCCTGTTACCTGGCAGGATGCACTCAGGCAACACTCTGGCCAGCCCAGAGTTCCGTGAGAACCATGCAGGTGCAAAGGACCCCTTTAAAGGACTGACCCCTGCCTGTTTACGCTCTCTTGCTCTTACTCTCTTTCCCTCTTACACTCTTACTCTCATCTTACTCTGTATCTGTCTCTCTCTCTATCTTATCTCTATCTCTCTCTCTCTCTGCTCTGCACGGGTTGGTTACCTCTCACTCCCCTTTTCCCTCCCCGTCCACCAATAAACTCCACGTGGGATCGTTGAAAAAAAAATACCCCATGGTACTGCTTGCCTAGGGCTGCTGTAACAAATTAACATAAAATTGCGGCTTTCTATGAGAGTCATGTGGGAAGGCTGCCTAAGAGGTGTCTGGGTCCTAACATTTAAAGCCTAGAGTGTGGTCTACAGATCTTTATTAGAGAAGGGAGTCATTGTTCATACTTTTGGGAAAGAATACCCACATGGAGAAATCTATACTAAGAAGAGCTTCTTGCTTTTAATGGGGGGTTGAATATTATCACATCAAAATAATAACAATAAAATAAGTCTCCCCAAAGAGAAGTAGACACTAACAAAGTATGAATGAATAGTAAATGTTTGACATTTCTTTTCCAAATGTGGTTTTACTTTTCCTTCTTGATGATAGGGAGAAATAGGTGATATCACTCCTTCTATTCTTAGTGTAGTTGACACATAATCTGCTTATTTCACAACACATGTGGTGAGGCCATGCTTTTATATGCGCCAGTCTTGTCAGCTAGTTATGACACTTTAAAGTAACAGTAGTAACGAAGTAACCAGAGGATTTTAATATTCACATGTAGTTGCTTTTTAAACATTTCAGTGTTAGAATCTAGATTCTGATAGTAGTATCCACTGTGAAAACCCAAGAATTCCAGGGATCTACCTGATTCCATTGTCTACATCCCCCATCTCAGTAGCTAGGGTCACAGAAGCAGGACACTGTTCTTTTGTTGGGGTTTTTTACATGGCTTCTCAGGTCCTAATCCCTATGGCAAGTACTATACCAAGTGAGCCATCTCCCCTGTCCCGCTTTAGGGTGCTAACGACGGATCCCAAAACTTTTTATAAGCTAAGTGTGCACAGAGTTACATTTCCTAGTCTCTCTCTCTCTCTCTCTCTCTCCCTCCCTCTCTCTCTCTCTCTCTCTCTCTCTCTCTCTCTCTCTCTCTCTCTGTGTGTGTGTGTGTGTGTATGTGTGTGTGTGTGTGTGTGTGTGTGTGTGTGTGTGTGTGTATGCGCGCTGTAGCTTCCTAGAGAACAAATGGACATGTTTGAGGATGTAAGACTTAGTCATTCAAGCTTAGGTGTTGACAAGTTTGCACTTCCTTCCACGTGGCCCACTGGGATGCTGGCACAACACTGTTCTTGGCAGAACTCTTAGCAGTCTTCCAGGTGGAAAGAGAAGCTGTGTCACAACCGCAAAGTTTGAAAGATCATCATTGGCTCACTCCCTGTGCAATGACTTAATGGAGTCATTGCTAAAAATTACCCAGAAGGAAATTACCCAGAAGGAAGATACTAAGGGCTTAGGGGAAAGGTTAAGCTGCTTATTTGGTCAAGTCACAGACAGATAGGTAGGGAAAAGTCCTTGTCAATCTGGGATCCCAGTTAAATGGGATAGAAATATGACTCAATTATAATTTAGATCCCATTACTTCCCTCCTTTCATTTCTTCCTTCTTTTCCTTTCCTTTTTTTGCCTTCAAATTTGTGCTCCTGATATGTGTTTGGAAGCCATGATTACCTAAGCACTGTTTGTACCTAAACATGTTATGGGTTCATCATGTTAAATTTGGGCTTATTCTAACAGAAAACAATGGTAAACAGTACAAGCAAAACTTGATGCACAGGCATAGTTTAAAACTTTTGTTAGGTTCTTCCCAAAAGAGGTAAAGTAGTAAGGAATGAGACTGGGAGATGGAAAATTTGTTATAGAATGTATTTTTAAAAATAATGCTGTTACCAGGGAAACTGAGGGAGGAGCATTATGTAGGCTCAGGAATTCCTGGTCAGTCTGAGTAACATACTGACATCCCATGTCTCAAAAATTGCACATGTCAGAAGCTTTAGTTTATTAAATTAAACAAAGTGTAGACATTTGGATAAAAACCAAGAGAAGAATCATGAGAGCTTCCAAATTAAAAAACAAAAACGGCAAACAAACAAAAACTGCTCATTAGTCATCAATTATAAAAATCATACCAAATATGTATTGTTAATGACTTTCAATTTCCACCCCCCCCCGAGAAGAGTTAGATCTATCTTGTGTTCGTCCACATGGTTGGCTCAATCCTATTGTTTGCGCGTCTTCGTGGACTGAAAATGTCTGACGTCATCAGCTAGTGGAAGCTGATCTGAACTCATGCATCATCACCCTCCTGAAGTGAAGAGGAAGTGCATTATAATGTGATGATGTAGGTCACGGTGGCTACCCTGGTGAACTAGAGCCTATTTCTATGCCACCAAAAAACGTGAGAAGGTTGCACGGAGGAAACAAATCTCCCCACAAATGCAAAGGACAGAATGTATTTTTTCTCTCAGTAGAGACAGCTCCTTTATGTAATTATACTTGTGGGCCCCTGTGTGGGTGCAAAGAGACTTCCTGTAAAGATCAACTGCATAGATTCACAATTTTTAAAGTAGCTTTAGAATGCCTTTATATGAAAACACAGCAAATACAATGAATAAGTATGCAAATTGTTAAATCTTTATCAATTTATTTGCCAAGATCAGCTTGTTACAGTACAACGTGGAAAGACAAACGTTATAAGAAGGCTGCCTGAAGGAAGCAAGCAATCACATTTTAATAGTAAAGATGTCTTACATTTTCTCTTTTATTTCTGGCTGTCTAATTTGTCCAGCTCCAGGGACCTCAAGGATCTTCCACAAGGAACTTTGTTCAAAGAATCTGGAAGCTCACAAATTTTAGAAATAGAAAACAATAGTGCTCCCTCTTCCTCCTCAAATGTCACTGTTAACCGCTTAAGTGCTTGTTGGTTGCTGCTCACACATCAGTCTTCCTACAAATGGGAAACCCTCTCACTCTCTGTGGGTCTTCCTCTTGTCCAACAGGCTCAACAACCTGCTCTGCCGCAACCCTGTCTGGACTCCTCAAGCTTCCCAGGGTTCCATGACCTGATCTTGCGGACAGAAAGAGTCAGAGTCAGAAGGTAGATTATCATTTGCACACATGGCAAGCCAATGGGAAAGAATCATCTGGATAGAGTATTTTATTTATTAACTTACTGAGTTCTACTTGTGTTAGGTCCATCTGACCAGACTGAGGAAAAAAGACTTAGTCCATTTATTTTTGGGTGACTTGTAAGTGAGAACTGGTTTATACATTTTAAGATGATTGTAAGCAGTAAAACTAGTATGTCAAAGCACATGGGAAATATATGATATTTAAACCTTGGTGTTTATATGAAAGGTTTTCTTGGGACGTAGCTGTGTTCCTTTGTTAATTTCTCCATATATTGTTAGAAGTTGTTTTGAATATACAATGACTGTAATATTTACTATTGGCTCTTTGCAGAAAGTATCCTAATCCTTCATTTAAACCAACTTTAAATCTGCATGTTGATGAGCCAATGTTTGACTGGAGAGCTGGACTTTCCTGGGCAGAAATTGTCTATAAATAAAATCTTTGTTGCTTTAGTGGTTAACAAACAAAATGGCATATATAGCAGCTTGCATATGCTAGCTTACATATAATTTTTTATTTTCAGTTGGTTTTAAAATACTTAAAAACATTTTATGTATGTGTATTTATGAGTCAGTGTGTGTATGTGTGTGTGTGTGTGTGTGTGTGTGTGTGTGTGTATTGCATGCATGTGCTTGCAGAGATCCAAAAGGGCATTGGATCCCTTGGAGCTGGAATTTCAGGTGGTTGTGAGTCACCTGACATGGGTCCTGAAAATGGAACTAAGGTTCAAAGAGCAGCAAGCACTCTTCTCCATCAAGCCATCCTCCCAGCCCCACATACAGCTTTTAGAAGTCCACTTGCATAATCTGCTTCAGGAAGCTTCTCTGACAGGTAAAGCACTATGCTGTGTTTCCTCTGCTCTCCTTCACTCTGTGTACACATCATGGAACATGAACTACTAAGGATTCTACTTTTTAATTATTCACTAAAATTTGGGGCATATCGTTTTTCATGGTTGGGGATTTTTTATATTTTAAATTATATACTCTTCTCAGAGATTGTGTGTTGGTCCTTAAGAAATGCAAATTATTTCCCATATTTGGTGAATAAGGAAAGAAAAAACTCAACAGCATTCTTTTGTTGCTTAGGAACTCAGAAACGGCTTTTCTATGTTATGTTTCTGTCCATGTTGGCATTCCTAGGTGTTACCTAGTGGTATTACACCTGGTTTTCTGGTTACTTTGGTGAGTCCCATGCTGACAGCCTGGTGGTGTTTACTATTAGACTGGGCTTTGTAGTTGGTCCTGTCTTTCCATGTCATCTCAAAGCTTTTTCAAGTGGTCTCTGCCATGCAAGTGAGATTTCTAATTGTGCCATTCAACATTCTCAAAAATTAGGTGAAAACTGCTCTTTGTCTTAGAGGGAAGACTCATTGTAGGCAGAATGTCGCTTCTGCCACACAGTTCATCATAGTGCTTACAAGATAGAACAGACACAAGGGCAGGGAAATAGACCCCACCTTTACAACAGAGGAATATTTTAAAAATTGATGGCTTTATAAACATATGCTGCTTAAGAACACACAGTACAATATAATCTAAGCTCAAGGCTGTCATCTTCTACTCATGTATGGGAGTTGTTTACTTTTACCAGAAGGAAATAAAAATTAACTTCCTAAAGCTAAAGGTACATTTGTTTAAGGTAACCTATGAACAAAATCAGATATTGAAGGGATGTAAGCATCCCACAATGTGCCTTCTGTGCATGTCCCTAAAAGTAGAGGAGGTATACCAGTGTTTTCTCCAAAAGCAATCAGTTTAGAAGAGTTTCTTGGCATATTACCATTATCTTAGCTGCACACGGTGTTAAACTGCCCTCCAAAACTTAGGTTTATACCCATAGACTGGAGCTGCTCTAAGCCTTTATTAGAGAAGTTTCTGTTTGCAGCAGACCATAGTTAGCTAAGAAACCCATGACTGGTCAAAATGCAGAGGGTACGTAATCAGGTTGGTCTTAAACCAGACATCTATATTACCCAGTAGGAAGGCATAGTTAAGAGCCAGAGGTTGGAGAGGAGTGCTAAGAAAGTGTCTTGTGGGGCAGTAGGATGACTCACTTGGTGGGCAAGGTCCCTTGTTGCTCAGCTTGATTCTGATTTAGGAAGTTTGATTCCTAAAATCCACGTGGTCGGTAGGAGAGAAGCAGTTCTTACAAGTTGCTTTTTGACCTCTGCATACATATAGTGAATGTGCACACTTACATGTTCACATGGGCAAACACACCTTTATATTAACACTTCCCTCTGCATGCTCACACACAGATTGTAAAAACACTAAAAATATATATAATAGTGTCTGGCCATGACACAGCCATTCCATCTGTGATTACCTGCATAAGACTTACCCAAGACTGGCCTGGTTACCTTCATCAGTGGGAGGTTCATGAGGTTCCACCCCTCATTGAGGGACTCCAGTCAGTTAAAGGGCTTTGGGGGAGAGAGTTCATTTTCTTTAGTGGTGTAGTCACTGATAAGTTCCCTATGTTCCTGTTAATAACACTATACTCATCCAGATTGAAGCATCTATAATTAAACCTGGTGGATTAAAAAAAATGAGAAGTCATCAAGTAGGAAGGGTCTTGTTGGGAAGAAGAAAGGTTTAGTGGAAAAAAGCAAGAGATAAGAGAGTAAGAGAGCATGAAAATGCCCCAAGTTCAGTATATATATTCATGAAGTTGCTGAAGAATAAAAAATAATCTTGGGTTGTATCACACAGCTTTTGAGAGAAAACATAGTTGCTTATGGTATGTAATAAGGACATGTATCTCACAAAGGCATGCTATAATATTTATATTTGATATAGTTATACAAAAACTGAGTGGAAATGCAAGGCATTTCAAACACTGGAATATAGACTGATGTCTAGTCAGTGTGAGGCCTTGGGTTCAATCCTCCCAAAGAACAAAAATCAGTACTGTTCTTGTGTTTCTTCATTACCTCGGGCTTCTTGTTGTGTTCTGAGAACCTGTAAGTTCAGAAAGGTAATGACTCCATTTGACTTTACCAGATAGAGAATTTTGTACCCTCTCTCTCTGCCTTGGGCATTCTTTGGTGACCGTTTCCACTCTTTTTGGGTCTCAGCCCCCACTTACCAGGGCCATCGCTTCCTCCCTGTGTGAGGCTGCACATTGGTCTTCCCATGGCGGTGGCTGGTGTCTGTGCCCATTTCCTCCAGTGGTCAGAGGTGTGAGTAGCAAAGGTAGGCTGCTGTGGCTAACAGGAGCAGTTAAACATACAACCCCTGCCCTAGAGAGGCCTTTGTACTTCCTTGTTCTTTAAAAAGTTACATTAGGGTTGTGGGACCAGCCTGTAAAGTTTTTTTGTGGGCAGTCAGAAACCCTTGAAGTTTTCACACAGAGAAAGGAAAAAAGGTCTGCCCTGTGATAAAACTAGGGCTGAATATTTTTGTCCTTTTCTTTCTAGTGCAAAGAGGCCCAGAGAAGGTTTTTTTTGTGGCGAAACAGTTACTCAAAACAGAGACCAGTGAGGGGGAACCGTCTGTGGTTCCTGTCTTTGCTGTTAGTGGTGATGTTATATGTGTGTTTGGGGAAGTTTGAATATCTAGTTGAGTCTGTACTTTTTGTGGTTTGTCTGGGCTCAAATTCACAACCTCACAAAGAGTTATTTTATTGGCTAAAAATGGACTCTGCTCCTTCATTATCAGGCACTATAAATGGAGATAGTGCGGGCCTTTGAAAATGCTTTTTAATATAGTGGAGAGTGAAACCACTAGTGATGTCTTCAGAGATGTGGGAAACATCTCTGGTGAGACCTCGCTGGAAGGAAACATTGGTGTTTTCTGTGAAACAGTTTTCTAGGAAGCATTTCCCCCCTCACAACAGGCCTGATGAGTATAGGGTCCCTTTTTGACACTTGTTTTTCCTGGTAGTCAAGTTCCCCTTTCCTTAGAAGCAAAACAGAGCTCTCGTGACTGGTAGATTCCCTCCACTAACTCACTGCTGCCGTTGACTTTCAGTTAGGAGATTTTGGAAATCCCCTTGATATCCCTTTTTTTTCATTTTAAGCGAATGTGTCTCTAGTTGTGTGTCTACAAAATTGCTTTCCACAAAGCAGGCTGGCTCTTTCAGGTTCATAGTTCGACCTAATAGCACAGTTCAGAATTCATAAAGAAGTTCTGAGTAGGACTGTGGCCACAGGTTGCCCCCCAAATAAGATTACTTATCATTCTTTTAATAGGAGGAAGGCTGTGGAGAGCTATAGTTTCTTCTCTGGCATGAATCAGAACTTTCTAGCATAACTAAGGAGCTCTAGCTAACTTTTTCCTGGTTCCTCTGGGCTTAATAACAGGATGAGGTTGAGATATCAGCCCCCTTAAAGAGGCACATGTGGCTCTGAATTCCTTTGAAGTGCTGAATAAAGGGATAATACTTCCCTTCACTGCTTTTGGCTCCTTCCCATGGTATATAGTGCCTGCTGTTAACCCACCACCTTGGTACTAAAGTGGGTCTTACTCCTTCAGAAGAGCAATGCAGTCTGATAGTGATTAAGGAATCTTGATAAAGCCTGTATGATTTACTGTTCAGGGAGTTTGTAGTTCTAACCAGGGACTTTTGAAAATGCAAGCACAGGGTTAAAGGTTGATTTTTTTCCCTTTACTTACTTGTCTTCTGAATCGTGTTTTAGACAAGCTAGCCTGCTCTTGGTATTAACTTGTAGTTCTTTAGGATGGTGGCAAAATACCTTCCTTCCTTCCTTCCTTCTCACATAAATGCTTTACTCCAATCTAAAGATTAGCACCATATGACAGTTCCTGATAAACATAGTCATATTCCAGTCTTCTTATGTTGAGCCTTTTGGGTCCTTTATGTGGCCTAAGATAAATCAAAACATTTTGGCATTAGAAACTTGATGTCAAAATTAGTCCTCGTGACACAGATTGGTAATCTCACTTGTGGTTGTGAGGCGGGAGAAATTTAGTAAGATTATGTTTCAAAATTTGAAAAGTAAAAAGAGAGCTGGGGATGTAGGTAGTTATCAGTGTCTCTTTTTGTAGTGTATTCCATAAAGAATTGTGAATGCTGAGAATAGTACAATTCTCAGAAGGAATTGTACTGAAGCCTCTCAATTTTAAGTAGGAAACCACTTTTCCTTCATTTGCAATGTCTTGCCAACAATCTTTGTGCATGCATGTTTTTCAGTTTTCACCATTGAACTTTCTGTTTTTGCTTTTTCTCTAAGACCTAGAGATGTGTAAGTCAATGGCCTCTGTGACAGTTCTTAGACCTCCCACTTTCTAATTGGTGGCTTCTGACCGGATATAATTGTTATCAATATTAGATTCTTATATCAAAATCTTCCCTCTGTGCCATCATAGATTTTGTAGTTTTGTATAATTCCTTAAGTTTTTGTTGGCTGGTTTAAATCATTAACTCTAAAACTCCTTGTCCCTGTCTGAAAGATAGTCTTGATTGTTCTAGGCGCACACCGAGTAAGCTCTTCCAGATGTTCTTGTAAAAGTAGTTCTCCACAGATGCTACCCAGTCCAGGCCCTCTGAAACATTGAGGTTTGGTATAAATCCTTCCTTGGGGGCAATAGAATGCATGGATTATACATCTAAGTGAATATTTTTATTTTAGAGATTTTTGTGCACATTGAGGAGTGTGAATGCTAGTTTGCTTATGGAGAGAAAGCCTAAGTCCCTTTCTTTGTCTTTCTTTCTAGACTTGGATGCTAGTTTTTTTCTTTCTTTCTTTCTTTTTTTTGTCAAGTTAGGAAATCTTCTCTTCAAATGAATTCTCCTTTGCCCATATGATTTCCAGCAGTTCTAGGGAATTCATACCTGTTTTAATTAGGCAGAAACAGAAAACCACTGCTTACCTTCAAACACCTTGAAATTTTTAAGTCTTTTAACTAGAATTTTCTTCCACTAAAAATCTTCTATTTTCATTTTCTTAGTCTTTTCTATAGTAGACACCATAAAGGCTTCTGCATGTCCTTTTAAGAAGAAACTTAAGGTAAAAGTGAAACCTGTAAGATCTTGCCAAAACAGGGACAAGGTAAAAATATGAGATGCTTTCTCTGGATCTATTACTCGCTGAACTATGGAAGTGGGTTTCCGGTTTCTTTTTTGTTTTTGGTTTTCTGTGTCTAGTCCTTCCTTGCTTCTCAAGCTTGCAACAATAGTTGCCTTCAGACTTTATCAGCTGCTGAAATACCATAGAATTTCATTTTAGTTTCCAATCCTTTGGCATCTCAAAGGGAGAACATTAAATAAAGAATTTTATGTCAGGAAAACCATATTATTGTCAGCCTTTAACTATGAATTGTTCTCATCAGATCTTTAGCTAAATTGATTTTATAAACAAAAACAAAACTAAGAATCAACACTACCTTATTAAAGAAAGTAACAGTTGTGAAATTTGGTATTCACCTTTCTATTACCATTTACTATTTTATTCTCAAGAATAAGATCCCTAAGGCTATAAATGTGTAAGCACACACATTATAAATGCACATACTTTCCATACACATGAATTTATCCTCATTAAAGACTGTGGAATGTCTACTGTGCATATTATGCTAAGAAATAAGGTGTGGTGGGGGAAACAAAGAATTATATAAGCGTAAAAACTCAGTGAACTTCAATTTGGGTTGTGGAGATAGACAGCTCACACATAAAGAGGTAAACAGCTATACAGAGAAGGCCCCCAGAGCATGAAGTATTAGGAGGAGACTTGTCATGCTTCTGGCAAATACACCTGTGGGGCTGTATGATGTGACAGCATCTCAGGAAAAAGCTAATCAGAGCTTCTCTGTCATAGACTGACTTAAGGGTAAATCAATAGTGGTAGAAGAAAATGCTGAGATACTAGGGGCCAAATCAGGTGGGGAGATAGGAGATGAATGGCTGAGATATCCTCTTCTTCCCAGAGAAGCAAGAGAGAGAAGATGGGGAATTTGAATGGGGGAATTTACCTGAAGAAACTTCGTAGGGGCTCTGCCCTCGGTTACCACTTTTGTAACCCAGGCAATGCATTTACTGCTTTGAACACTAGGTTTTTACATTCACAAAGTAGGAGTTGTGTTACTCTTTAAAATAGGGACAGCTAGGATGGAAGTTTCACAGGAAAAGAGGGATCACTTAGTTTATGTGGCAGAAATTTTCCTGAGTGCTTCCTACTCTGAAATAAAACTATCAAAATATCATTGTTTCCCGATGCTGTCAGTTTGAATCATGATTAGAAGGAAGCCTCTGAAAAGCTGTAATGTGATGAGAAACACTGTGAAGGGAAATGCCTGGAACAATTAAGAGAAATAGTGGCAGGTCTCAGGTGCTTGGGGAAATATATGAAGGCTTTATCAATGAAGCAAGAGCACACATTTATGTTCAGATAACTTCCAAATATTCTTGTGGTCTAGTGAGCCCCTCAAATTGCCACTCATGAGTTATATAATGTAATGAATTTGAAGTTCTACAAGGATTTGAAATGTGCTATGTATTAGTGATAATGGTCCTTGAAAGCTCTATTAAATATCCTCCATTTCCTCATGGTAAATTTAGAATCCAATGATAGAGTCTTGAAGGAACAGACAGCAGTGGTTACTGCAGTAGTGCATTGGTGTAGGGAACACTCATGACAGTTGACAGTCTCTTAGGGATCGAGGAGTCATTTGACAACACACCTGTGAGGAAATGTGGGAGAAAAAAGGACTGCTGACAGAGGAACACAGGTGAATTGCGGCTATGTCGACTCTGTGAGAACCTGAAAACTGAGTGTGCACTCAAGTTGTGTCCTCACATTATAGGGAAGTTTAACCAGGGTCCTGACCCTGGGAATACCATGACCACATCATCAATTTTCACCTTTAGATCACATAAAAAGATTTACTCCGTTCCCTATACATGCTCTAACACATACATATTTTGAAATTGGACACATTTTTATTCCACTATAAATGTCAGTTCAGGTATATAACTTTCCCTAAATCTGTGTTTAAAAACTCAAAGATTTGGAATCTCAAGAAGAGATGCAAACTTGAAACAAGGTTATTTTCCCTAATGAATAGGAATGCTAGTGAAAGCCTCCTTGGTATAGGATCCTTTTCTAGCCCAACTTCTAACCCAACTGGGGAAAACAGTCCTGTTCTTGACTGTGTTGATGCTCTCTATCCCTTACCCTTGGGTGACTTTCCAGCATGTTTTCAGATAGTTTTTGTTATGCTAATAACTTCGATGGTCTTTCCTCCAGAGTTAACTGTAGATACCAGAATATAACCTATCCTTGTCAAGATAAGATAGGAAATGAACTATGCCTCAGAGTAACCCTTTTTGGAAAAATCTTAGTGAATAAATATCCTCCTTCCTTGTCTTTCATTGGGAAAACTCAAAATTGTATTGTATATGGCCTCTGGTGGTCTTCAGGGTTATATTGAGACACAGATGTTTGTAGACTAGGGTGGTCAACTTATCTCAATCTTTAGTCCTTTCTCAGTTGTAGCATTAAAATTCTGTTTTTTGGGAACTCCTTCATTTCACTCAAGCCAGGGAGGTGACCACTCTTTAAGTATAGGTAGCCGGCAACTCAAGGTGATCCTTTTTGGTTTTCTTTCCTCCAAACTCACTTCTCTGCTTCATTCACATCGATTCCTGGCATTCTCCCTTTTTTAGAACCCGCTTTAAGAAGGACATAAGAAAACCAGTTCACAATGTCTGCTTGTGAGGATACAGGAAAACCAGCAGCCTCATGTTTTGCAGAGTAGCAATGCAAGATTTCCCAGATTTTGGCATGGTACTTGAAAAGGCTGTACATGCAAGCAGCTGAACTGAGAATCTGTGCTCTAAGCTTCTCTCCTGTAGTCCTGATCATTGTTCCCCAAAGACGTAAAGTGAGGATTTTCCGTGGGATCCTTTATAATAAACACTGAAGCTATCTGTCCGTGTAGCTGACAAAATGTCTGTAATTAGGGAAGTGCTTAAGTAAATTATAGTATAAGCATTCTAGGAAACAATATGAAATTTCTATAGAAACAGAAGATTAATCTACACTTACTGACAGAGAAAAATGTTATAATGTAACAGCAAGAGAAAAGCAGATTAAAAGTCATGTATATTATATTTTATATCTACTATTTTTTCTCCTCCTGGAACATATACATACATACTTAAACACAAAAACTGTTAATATTTAGGAATAAGAAAGAACAAAAAGGTTATGAAGAAAATTGCCTCTATATTATTATTATTGCTATTACTAATTTATACTTAAAATTGTCTTTAAAGTAACAATGTACTTGGAAATGAGTATCTGATGCATTATTCACTATTTTCAATTTTCTCTGTTGTGGCAGCATGGAAACTGTTGTGATTTTAGCTTCGTATTCTGTTTTATATCCCACACACCAGTATAAAGTGTGTTGTGATCAAATACAAACAACTAAGTTATGTAAAGCATAATTAACTAGAGATTTTATGTGGGCACCAATTTTTAAAAATGAAAGGTTGCCTTCTCTTTTAAGATGAGAAAGACCATATGAATAGAAAATATATTTCAAATATTTATTAGTTTTCCTAAAACCACAATTACAAGGGCAAACAGGAAATTAAAATAAGCTCTATATGTGTACCCGAACCTCTCGTATTTTAAAAATTTATTTGTCCAGGAAATTGAATGATGTTGAATGAAAATGATAATCTCTCAGGTGTTTGGGGAAGGAACATGGCATTGGCTTAGAAGGCAATGAAAGAGATGTTACTGGCAGGCAGGATTGAATAGATTTTCAAATAATGCAGAGAAAAACTAATAACCAGGAAGAGTCACCCATTATTGCTTATGCCATTTGTCTTCTGCTTTGTTTTGTTTTCTCCATAGAATCCTATGAATAGTGAGAGGACTGGGGAGATTTTTCTACAGTTTGACTGCAGTGATTCCAACAACACAGTGAGAAACGTGTGCTTGGAAAGAAACCTCCGTCTTTCTTAGCTGCATGATAATGGACTAAGTACACCAAACTTCACCTCTCTGAAAACTAACCATGATTATATTAGCTACAGTCTGCTCTGTGGGAATGCTCATTTGTGTAGTATTGGTTTTCTTCTAGGTATGAATATTTTTTCAATAATCTCCAGCATCCTTAGGACTAAACAGGAAATGCCAGTTCGAGTGTGAAGGAGAAACAAGGAAGAAGCAAGATGGGCCTACATTGCATCAAATGCTCCTTCAGCCTCAAGCACAGGAGGGTCTGAAGAGAAGGACTTTTTTCCTTTAACCATAGTTTGCAATGATATCCAATTTTTATTGAGAAGGATCCAGGATGTGATGTTTTAAGTTATATAGTCTAAACATCTGTAATCTACTCTAAAAGAGTTTCTCTGGTGTCTTTATCCAAACTTGGTAAAGGGTCTCAAGATCATGTCTGAGTTCAAATCTGAATAAATGATTAAGTGTTTTGCTAAAAACTAAAAGATATCATGAAGTCAATAATGATGTCTCTACTTTTTATTACTTGGAAAAACCCGTAGAGATTAAAAATAGTTATCTTTAGCATTATAAAGATGAATTTTATATACTAATTTTAACATCTCCTCTATGGATTCAGGAATAGTTTATTGCCAGGTGCTTGTCTTGGTAGAGGAAAACCAAATTAACCATGGCCAGGTGGGGTCCATTGTTTCGGGAAGCAGTCCCATGATCCTCAGGGTTGTTTTTCCTCATTTGTTGCTCCCCTTTGCCCCCATCCAGGCAGCACTAAATCATGTCCTAAGTCTACACATTCTCCCAGTGCCCTGGTGGGTAATGTTGGAGATATCAGTTATGGCAGCTTTAATATAGACAACTAATGAAGAGCCGCAAACACAAATGACTGAGAGCTGAAGGTGTGGAGGCATTACTCTTGTAGGTATAAATGTCGATAGTGTAGGAGATAGAGGGAGTGGAGAGAATTCCACAAGACCATTTGGCAAACGTGAGGAAACAGAGTGCCAAATTCAATGTCTGAATACAGTTAAGAAGGAAATTAGGAAGAATGACAATGAACTTGGCAAATGCTGTACAAACTGCACTCTGTCCTTATTGCACTGAATAGCCAATTGTATGATATTCATCATAGTTAAGCAGACACTGTCCTGATTTTGGCCAAGATGATTTAATGCTTACCATGTGGTAGCCATTTTTAAAGCTCCATGAAATCCCCATGGCAGTTTCTTATGAATTTCCCACTATTACTGATGTGGAAATCAAGCAACATTAACTCAGCTATGATCATAAACGGCAAGTTTCTATTGACTATCACTATAGAGAGAATGTCTTTTTTTTTTTAAAGCCAAATAAGGTCAGTTCCACTTCTCTTCATTTTCTAAAGCTAAACAGACAGTAATATTTATTCATTTGTTTCTTAGATGCTGAAATGATCTGGAACTTTTTATTATTCCACATTATTTGGTATTTTGATATATCTTTTCTAATCGGTTAATCTGTTTCATCTTTCTGTGGTTTCCCTCATGGATATTATTTTTGTGTAAGAAACAGGGTGAAAATGTGTTTGTCTTATTTCTGCACTGTCTTCACTCATATAAGTGCAGAAGAGACTTGCATGTGATGATGTAAGTGGATTCCACATTAAACTGTACATGATTTCCACTGACTCACTCATCCTACCTACTTACTATTGGTGCTAGACGGGCTCTTTCCTTCCCGTGATCATCTATGTTCTGCTTATCTAGGATGAGACTATTGCTTGTAGTTCATTCTCAAGCCCTGAAACTTAGACTTAGTCTTTTAGAATAATGTTTATATAGCCACTTGTTTTTTCTTCTAAATCATCCATGTATCATTACATTTTTAGCCTTAGCCCAACATTGACAGATTTCTGATGTACATGAGTGTTATTATTTTCATTTCTATATCTGCCTATTGTTTTCAGAACAAAGTTTGTTGAGGTTTTCTTTTCTAAGCTGTAAGCTGGTAGATACATAAAAATGCCACTCATCTTGGAACCCCTGAGGTTTCAAAGTCTACTTGACACTCAATAAGTATTTGTTAAATGAATGAATGAATTTAAGATGGTTTAGAAGGTTAGATTCTTTAGGTTAGAAATTCAGAATTACCTTCCAAAAAGTGTGTTCCTGTTATTCTGAGTTTTGCTCTATTGTGGAGGTCTACCAAGGCATTACATTCCTTTTATTGTTTTATGATGTTGATTTGTATGGGCTTGTACTGTGTGTAGTGCAGCGTGAGTGGTTTGGCAAATAGGAGGGATTTTAATTTGCTCTGAGTGACTCAAACATGTTTCCCTAACAACTGTTTTGTTTGCTTCCTTGGATTATTTTTAGTAATTTTTTTGAGGCTTAATCACAGACCAGACTGTTACATCTTGCATTCTTGAATATTTATTCAGTCCATCTTTCAGCGCCTGGCATCTGGTCATTTGCTTGTGCAGGTGGAAGGGCCAACTTTATAATTACCTGCAGATGAGTAGTTGGGCCAATTTTCAGAATGTATCCACGAACTGTTACTAGATACCCTTGAGCAATATTCATGGAAAAGCTCAACCAAAATAGTGGAATGAATTTGTTAATGAATATCAGTTCAAATGTGCAACTGATAGGGATGTTATAAGAGATTCAAAATTAATAAAGCTTAAAAAGTCTGCATCATTGGTTTGACTAATTTATTTTCCCATGGCTAGCATCTTCTATATTGTATGTGAACGACATTAATGTTCTGTCAGTGTATAGGCGGGGTTTGTCTAACGTTTATTCTCATGCAAACCACTACTTGTGAGTTATAAATAAGCTGAGCATATTTTATTAGTAGCTACTAGGATAGAGACGAATCTTAGATCTGACCTCACTTATCTTCTATATTATGCTAACTCTGCCAGAGTGAAAAGTTGGGGACTTTTTACAACAATAGTTTTCATGCCAGATGGAATGGAAGGAATGTTGGGAATCTAGAAACCCAAATTTCAGGTTCTCGTCTTTGCTAACAAGCTATGCGACTTTCTGAAACTATCTTAACCTCAGATATTCATTTTCTTACCTGTTAAAATAAAATAAAAACCCAACCACAAGACCTCATAATGCTTCTAACAAAAGCATACTATAAGTTAAATGTGTGTTTTATATCCAAAAGTTTGGAAAGATATCTGCTTGAACAGTGAAAAACCAAGCAGCTTTTTGTATAGGAAAGGTGAACCTGTAGCTAGTGAACATCTTTAACCTGTAGCTAGTGACCAGCTTTATCCCACAGCTAGTGATCGACTTTAACACCCAGTTAGTGATCGGCATTAACCCACAGCTAGTGATCATCTTTAACACAAAAGTAGTGATCAGCTTTATCCAACAGCCAGTGATCTGCTTTACCCTGCAGATGGTGATCTGCTTTAACCCACAGATAGTGATTTGCTTTAACATAAATTAGTGATCAACTTTATCCCACAGCTAGTGATCAGCTTTATCCCGCTGCCAGTGATCTGCTTTAATCCGAAGCTAGTGATTGGCTTTAACACAATCAGAAAACCATGGACAGTGACTGTTAGAGGCACAAGAAGCTTTCAAAGAGTGATGGAGTTCTGTGGAAGCTGAGAATGAACAGTAATAAAGGACTAGTTGATCAGCAGTAGCAGTGTTCAAGCATTATTTAATTTCCCTACAACACTGTGAGACTGATCTAACCTGTGAGAAAATAGAAACTTACACAGTTGATAAACAGCATGGATGTGGTAGCCACCCAAATCAGGGTTCAAATCAAAGTTCTGCTTGAGTCAAACAGCAGCCAGTCTGTAAAACTCCACCAATCCTAACTGAGGAACTCACACTCCCTTCTTTTAGCTAGTGTTTGCTTTACATGAACCAGGTTTCAGACACAGCTCTAGACTAGATGCTCAAGTTAATGCAGAGAATGAACCCAAGGTCTTCCCTTATGGAGCTTGCATACCAGCAAGCAGAGTTAGTAAGAGTAGATAGATTAAAAAAATAGGTTATGTGGTATTTTAGCAGGGGGTAAATGTTACAGGAATTGTAAAAATAAAGCTGGATGTTAGAATTGGAGAAATGTGTGAATGGAAATCTGCCTGTGCAGCTTCCAGCTGAGGGGTTGAAGTGGGCACCACCAACATTCTAAATTTTGATAAAGGATTTGGGGAGATGAGGGAATTGGTTACACAGACATTTGTAGGAAGAATATTCATGACAGAGAGACAAACAGTCATCCAGAGTGTGCCTTTTCTTTTTTTTACAATTCAGTTATTCACGGCAGAGAAAAAGTAAATATAAAGTAAATTCAGACACTGGCATCCTTCTCCATGGTTTGTTGAGTTTTCAGAAGCAGGATGACTTTGTCCTCATCCTGTTCCATCCTGGTTTCCTAGCAGGACTTCTGAAAATGGTTTCCTTGGCAGTCTTCCTGTTGACTTGATCTGATGTTGAGCTTCCAGACTAGCTGATCTGCTGACAGCTTCTTTCTCTGAGCAAAAATTCAGGTTTCTTAATTCATAGACGTCAGGTAACAGATTAGCCACTAGACAACTGGAGAAAAGTTTTCTCATATTTTTCCACTATGGTCCTCATACAAACAAAGGGATTGATCAGTTTTGTACAGCCAAATCCCAACAGAAGAGTTAGGTAGGGTTCCAATTTGCATTTGTGAACTTTGGATTGGGGCCTGGATTTTGCATTTCCTGCAAGTTCCCAGGTGATGAGTTGCTGTTGGCTTGTTTTAAGTGAGTATCTAGGATGCATTTGTGTACTGGGAAGATGATTTGAGCCTTCAGTTCTATTTTGTGTATTTGTGGTGTGGAGATTTGAGTGCAGGTATGGCTGTACAAGTGGAGGCCAGAGGAGACTCCACCATTTATTTTGAGACAGGTTCTTTTGCTGGTCTAGAACTCATTAAGTAGGTTAGGATGCTGGCCAGTGAGTCCTGGGAATCTTATTTATACTTCTAGTGAGATGACAAGTGTGGGACCACACATGGATTATTGTATGTGGTGTTGGGAATCAAAGTAGTCTTCGTGCTTACAAGGCAAGCACTTACTGCCTGAGTTAGGGCCCCTCCCTCCGCCCAACACTGACTCTATAGTTCTAGGTAGAACTTCTCTCTACCCAGCAAGTCCAGGCCTGTTTTTATATACATCATTTGAAGGCCAGGGAAAAATAATTCATCAAATTAAAAAAAAAGATAACCTTATATATGCCTGGTGCTTACTGAGGCCAAAAAAGGGTTTTTGGATTTTTCTGAAACTAGAGTTACAGACATTTTTAACTCTACTATGTGGGTGCTAGGGACTTATTCCAAGTCCTCTGCAAGAAGAACAAGTGATCTTAACCATTGAACATTCTTTCCAGCCACATGGTGGTGTATTAGATACTCAGTAGTAACCTTCATTGTTCCTCACCCACCATTTTACAGCCATAGTGACATCATTTCTGTTTCAGAAAGGTGTTTCAATCGTCAATTGATGTAAAGATCACTTGTGAAATAAGCCTTCTGACCATTTTGCTCCAAAACAGAATTTTGGAGAATTTTTTCATGAAAGTAATAAAGTTTTCAAAAATGAACTAGCTTTGGATTTAAATAAAGATAACCCAAATAGCAAATATGTATTATATATCTACTGTTCATCAGGCATCATTTTCAGATATTTGAGAAATGTCAGTCAACAAAGCAAAGGATAGAAAACAAAAGTTCGGTGTCACTGTTAGAATGAAGAATCAGCTATGGATAGAACAAACAATCAAACAAACCAGTAGGACAAGGACCAAAGGGATAAGAAAAGTGAGAACCATATAAGAAAGAAGGAGACATTTGAGCAAAGACCAGGAGACATGAAGGTGCTATTCATTCAGATAATGTCAAGAAATAAGTCTCAGAGCAAACGCACCAAGGTGCCTGTGACTATAGCAAAATACGTAGGTGTGTATATTTTATAATCTCTACAAGCTTGTTTTGAAGTGACCCAATTGAATATTAAAAGGAATTAAAGAGTCAAATTAAACAGGTTTCACTTAAGGTAACCCAATACCCTAAAGTGTTGATTCCCACCTGCAGTATTGACAGGAAAGATTTACATGGGGATTTGAACTCTTTAACCGTTTTTTTTTTATTTCTCCTTACCCAATGAAAGAGTTACTTCTGCCTCAGGTAAACTAAAGAAGTCACTTTGACCATGTCCTAGCTTCTAGCTAAAGAGATTATTGGTAGGGCATTCTCTTCTTCCAGAGAGCAACTGTCTGTTCTGTGGGATGCCCTTCTGCTGGAGAGGATGGATTTGTAGCATTCTGTTGTAGGAAATCATCCCTAAGATTACAGACTAGTGACTTCAGCATCACTTGGAGATATATTTGAAATGCACATTTACAGGTCAGCATGAGGCTAGGTGTACTGGCAGTATGGGGCTTATATGAATGCCTAGTTTCCAATTTTCCTATCAGAATAGCCTGTCTCACCTGTCTGCATATTACAATCCAGGAGGAACCAAACCAAACCAAAATGAACTGCCAGTGCATGGCCTCCATATGAGAGACCCAATTCATCTGGGGGCCAGGCCAAGGAAGCCAGTATTTTCAACTCTCTCTAGGTGAGACTAGTGAACAGAATCATGTTAATTGAGCAGATATGCTAACCTCACCGTGTTGACACTTGGGAGTGACTTCTTTTTCCTTTTATGAGAGGCTTTCCTGAGCTTTACAGAGAGTTTAACAGTATCCATAGTTTCTGTGTACTAGATGCCAGCAGGATACTTGCTCACATTGGGAAAACCAAAAGTTGCCAAAGATTGCCAGGTGTCTGTTCAGGAGCAAAATGCCCCAGTTGAGAACCACTATTCTATGGAAATGTTTTCAAAGTTTAGTGCCATACTTCCCAAGAGAAATATAAAACTAACCACATGTATAATTGAGATTTTTTTCAGCAGCCTCATTTAAACAAACAAATTCAAACAGATGAAACCAATTTTAATAGTATAGTTAACCCAATACTACCCTAGATCGATCTTCAATACACATTTACTATAAGCTGTGAATCTACATCATGTTTCTCAAGTCCTTGAAGTCTAGTGTGTGACTAACCCAGCCCATTTCAAGTTAGACTAACTACAGATAGTATGCTCAGTGGTCCATGTGGCTAACAACTCTTGCACTCGGCAGACAAGGTTTTGTAGGCGTTAGAATTAGCTTGAGTGTTTCTTAACATGAAAATTGCTGACATGCTTCCCTTTCCTTCATGGCTTCTGGTTTGCTGGTTCTGGAGTGGGACCTGAAAATCGGAATTCCAAACAGAGGTTCAGGTAATGCTGGAGGAGTGTTGAGTATACTTTGAAAGCTAGAGTAAAGAAACTCTAGTGTATTACTCAAACATCAGTTGTTTTGTTTGTTAGGGGTTTTGTTCATTTAATTTGACAAGTGACAATGACTTGGAGCCTGCAAGACACTGAGTCCTTCCCTAGGACAACTATATTTGCCTATAGCACTGTAATTTATATTTCTTACTGGCAACTGGACACTTTCTTGAGCAAGAATTTCCCCCATCAGCACAGGTGTCTGTTTTATTGTTTGTGCTTTTTCTCTGTTCTTTACTTGACTTTTTCCATGCAGCTCAAGGCTTTAGGATTTATTTTCATTTTCTTTTCTGACTAGTGTTACCTATTAGAAAT